AATCAGGAAGGGGGGTCACAAGGAGAACGTAGGCCGTGGGTGGAATGGGTGGGGGGGGGAGGGGGGAGGGGAGGGCTGTTGTCTCCAGAGACTGCTAGACTTTGAGGCCAGTTGGCTTTCGGGGGGCCTTCTCCCCACTCTTTGGGGCTTCTAGGAGGGGATCCCATGTGGGAATGCCTTCCATGTGAGTTTTATGCTGGGGAAATTGCTCTGGTGCTCCTGCCCTCTTCCCTGTGTGCATTCAGAGCTGAGCCCCACATCTCAGAGGAAGCCCTGCTCCATTGCCTGCATCGTGCACCTTACCCTGAGGAACTGGCTGCTCTTTGACATTCAGCGTCCTCAGGAAAGCCGAGCCTGATAGGAACATGGGCCAGGCACGCAGGGGAATCACTCCCTAAATAGGGCTCTCTGGGAGGGATCCCCACTTCCTCTTCATTTTTTCAGGTCCAATCTCATTACTTTTGGACCAGGCATGACTGGTTTCCTCAAGGCCTGGACCGCCGAGTACATCTTTTTATCACCCCCTTAGAAGTCCAGTTTCTTCCATGGGCAGAAACGGACAGTGTCTGCCATGAAGTCCCCAGAATGAAAAAGGAAGCAAGAAGCAGGGCCCTTCCTCTGAGACCCAGGAAATCGTTTTAATAATGTTCCCGTTGTGCTAAGGGCTAGCGATACCGAGCATAATCTATTCAAATGCACAGGAGAATCTCACTTTGGAAAATTAGGACTCTGCATTAAAAAATTCCCAAGCCCCGGACCTTCTTTATAATAAATTAGAAATTTTTTTTGAGGCAAGTTCTTAACTTGGCAATTTCATTTTTGAAGTTTGGGGAATAAAGTTATTAAAAATGAGGGAGGCTTTTTCCTCTTCCCATTTCAGTGGAGAAGCATTAACGGTTATAGCCGTGTGCTATTTGCACACAAGCCAAGTGGCATGATGGCCAAGCAGCTCCTGGCCCCTCGTTTCTGTTCCAGTCCATCCTGGGGAAACGCCGTGATTACTTGTAAGGATGTCACTCTGCATTTACTGTGCACTAAAGACAGAGCATAAGTTTAGAAAGTACAAAAGCAACAACCCACTGGAACCTTTCCCGTGGCCTGCTTCCTCCTTCCAGTGGCTCACTGTTAAATGCTATCAGAGTCGCAGCGCCCTCTGCTGTCTACCTCCAGTACCTCAGCTCCGCCCTGATGTACTTGAGTCCTGATGTACCTGAGTCCCTTACTTCATGCCCTGAGAGGCAGGACAAGTCATGGGGACCGCGGAATTCCAGAGTGATTATTTAATGCAAACATTGTCTCTGGGAGATCAGGATGTGAATGAGGTGTGTGGTCCCTCCATTCAGTTCCTCCATTACTCTCCTTCCATTCTTTTGCATCTTTGCCTCAGCCTGGCCATCTATCTCCTGGACTTTCACAAACCCCCCTCCCACTGCCCCAGCACCCCCACGGATCCTAATGGGATCCTCGAGGTCATATTCCCTGTCTGCTGTTGCTCTCATGTCCCAGCGAGTGCCACTCCAGCCTCCCCCCAGGAATTGCCGTGGTGGCACAGCCTCCCTTTCTTCCCTTCCGGGCACACGCCCTTCATCCACGCTGAGCCATCATCCCGGTTCTCCTGTCTCCTGTAACACACCATAAGCAGCGTCAGCCCCCAAGCAGAGCTCTCCCTCTGCAGCTCCACCAGCAATTTCAAGAAACCGTCGGATTTACTGGAGAAGGCAGCAGCGGCTTCTGCCTCACCTTACACCCGCCCGCGTCCTGCTATTAGTAACCTCCCCCACTCTTCCTCAAACATCCACACATACCTACCGTTCCACAAATATCTTTGCCCTTGGCTTATAGGCAAGATAAATATTGTATCTGGTCTATTTGTGTATATATTCAGTGTTTAGTATTCCTCTGTCTGTGTGTCCCCAGCATGCCGGCTGCATAAGCATTTGACTAGAAGGCAGCAATCCTAGTGGGTTCTAGTCTGACCACCAGGCACAGCCCTGAGTGAATGTGGGCAGTCAGTTATTAGTTTGGACCAGGAACAAACTGAGATGCAGGTTGGTAGGTGGTTACATAGCATGACTTCATGATGGGTGATATTAAAAGGGTTTTGGCAATTCAC